TCTAAGTACTTTCTTCATCTTGATGCTTTTGTAAATGGAATTATTTTCTTAGTTTCCTTTTTTTTTTTTTAATTAGGCAGCACACCCAATGTGGGGCTTGACCTCAGGACCTGAGATCAGGAGTCAGTTGCTTTACCAACTGAGCCATGCAGCCCCCCTCTTAGTTTCCTTTTCAGGATGTTCACTGCTAGTACACACAACTGGATTTTGTGAGCTGAATTTAAGTATTGGCTCTAATAGCTTTTGTAGTGGATTTCTTAGGATTTTTTGATATCTAAGATTCTGTCATCTGCAAATAGTTTTCTTTGTTTTCCACATTTGGTGCCTTTTATTTCTTTACCTTCACTGATTGCTCTGCCTAGAATGTTCAGTACAATGTTGAATGGAAGTTGCAGGAATTAACATTTGGACTTGTCCGTTGTCTTAGGGGGATGCTTTCATTCTTTTACCATGGAATAGGATAGTAGCTGTGCGTTCTTCATAAATGCACATTTTCAAGTTGAGGAAGTTCCCTTCTAATCCTAGTTTTCTGAATGCTTTTGATCATGAAAGAGTGCTGGAGTTTGTCACATGCATTTTCTGCATCATTTTGTGGTAGTCATGTGGTTTGTTCCTTTCATTTTATTAATGTGGCATATCATATTGATGTTCATACATTGAACCACCTTTACAATCATGGGATAAATCCTACTTTGCCATGATGTATAATCCTTTTAATTAAAATTCTTTTAATCAATAAAACTTCTAGTTTTGGTTTCCTAGTAAACATTTAAAATTTTTGCATTTATAGTCATAAGGTGTATTGGTCTGCACTGTTTTCGTTGGTGTCTTAGTCTCACTTTGCTATCAGGGTAATGTTGGCCTCATAGAATGAGTTAGGAACTTGTCCCCCCCCCCTTCTATTTTTTGGAAAGGCTTTGGGAAGGATTTATAATTATTAATTATAATTTATAATTCTTCATTCATTAGCCACCATATAGTAGTACATCATTAGTTTCAGAGGTAGAGTTCAATAATTCATCAGTTACATATAGCACCGGTGTTCATCATATTGTGCCCTGCTTCATTCCATCACCCAATTACGGCACCCCCCACCACTCCTCCAGCGACTCTGAGTTTGTTTCCTAGAGTTAAGAGTCTCTCATACTTTGTCTCCCTCCGTGTGTGTGTATAATGTGTGTGTATGTATAATGTGTGTATGTATATATACCACATGGTCCTTATCCCTTCATCTATCAATGGGCATCTTGGCTCTTTCCATAGATTGGCTATTGTGGACACTGCTGCTATAGACATTGGGGTGCATGTGCCCCTTCAGATCGTTCCGTTTGTACATTTTGGGTAAATACGTACTAGTGTAATTGCTGGCTCCTAGGGTGGCTCTGTTTCTAGCTTCTTGAGGAAACTCCACACTGATTTCCAGAGCGGCTGCACCAGCTTGCATTCCCACCAACAGGGTATAATTCTTTGGGCATTTGGTAGAATTCACCAGCGAAGCCAACAGGCCCTGAGCTTTTCTTTGTTCTAGGTTCTTGTTGATGGATTTACTCTCTTTACTTTTTTCATGGGTCTATGGAGAATTTCTATTTTCTCATGAGTCTGTTTTGTTACATTGTGTGTTTCTAGGAAATTGACCCTTTCACCGAACTTGCCTAAATTTTGGTGTACAATTGTTCATGGAATTCCCTTGCAATCTTTTTTTTTTTTTTAAATCTCTGCAAGGCTGATAGTAATGTGGGGACATTTCTGATTTTAGTAACCTGACTATTCTCTCTTTTCCTAGTATACTATTGCTTTTACTTCCTTATATTTTAAGGACATATCAGCTTCATAAGCCTCCATGTGTGTCTTTCCATATAATGACACTTGTGCTAACGTGAAGGTCCTACCACCCACCAAGTACATCACTGCCAGCTCTATACAGAGAGTCTGGAGAGAAAAAAAAACAAACCTTGGGTGATCCACAGAAACTTTGGATTTCCTGTGAGGTGAAATGAGGCAGAACTCCATTATTATCTAGACTTCATAAGTCCCTTTATATGTAAAGAACTCATATTCAATATTCTTTTTTTCTTTTAAATCCAGGTATGGTCCTTACCACGATCTCTTTTACCTTACCTTCGTAAATAAGCACAGGTTTTTGGGAAAGGCTTGGCCGGTATTTTCTGACCTCCACTTTCCTCAAAGGGCCCTGGGCCGGTGGGCTTAGAACTGGACACTTGGTGGGGGACCAGAGTTTTCCACCAGAGCTGCTAGCATCAACTTTCTGCTTGCCAGTTCTCATTATTTTCTTCTTAGAAAAATCAAGTAATACCCCAGCCAGCTGTCCCTATATCTAGACCACAGAACACTATGTACTCTCTATACTACCTCTCTTGCCACAGATTCTGGTCAGTCAGATGAGACTGGCTCCCCCCGGGCCTTGCAGTCCAGTATGGTAACTGTGCCTACCTTGCCCTGCATAGGTTTGTGCCACCATCGTTTAGGGCGATCTTAGCCCCTTTACAACTGCTCAGGCTGGAAGGTATCTCAGAGTCTACACAGCCAGTCCCCCAAATACGGCTGCACACCCCAAATGTGATCCTGGTTCACATGGGATCCTTGTGGAGGAGACGAGATGCATGTCCTAGGCATGTCTGCCCTCTTCAGTGGATGCCTCAAGCCTACATGATACCCCAGGAGGGAGGGGGTCCTCCCCCTTCACCCCAAACCAAAGGACACACTGCAAAAAAGGCATGGGGGGAAATCTGGGGATCTGGTTTCACATATAGGCCATCAATCCATGATGCCGATAAAGATTTCTCACTAAGGAGGCAAAGTAGTGCCACAGTCATCTGAGAAATGGAAGGGTCTTTTTTTTTTTTTGAAATGGAAGGGTCTTAAACTACGTCTTACTTGTTCTGCTGACTCACAGTGCCAGGAATGGATGATGGGTGGATGGATGGATGGATGGATGGATGGATGGATAGGTGCGTGGATGGATGATGGATGGATGAATGGATGAGGTAGTGAAGAAAATATTAGAATGTAGAGCCAGATATGGCCATATGAGAAGGCTGAAGTTGAGTGGTATATTTGGCTCGGGAGACACGATGTTTATAGAAGAACTAGAGTGTGTCGTTTCAGTGTAAAAGGCCCACAGAGAGCATGAGATGGTGTGTTTCCAAGTACTTTTCAGGACCATGAGGATATCATGTGGATTAGCCCAAGCAGAATGCCTCAGGAGTCATTGGCATCTCTCAGGCAGCATCCAAAGAAGTTCTTTTGGGCCTGAAGCTTACACAATTTGGAAGGCCCTCTTATAAAATTATGCAAAACGAGCATGAAAGTGAATATTGATTTAGGATTGGAAGAAAATTCATAATGAACTTTAAAAACTGATGACTAAATCACTGAAATTCCAAAATAGTATGTACACACACACACACGTGTGTGTGAGTGAGTGTACATATATTTAAACACACCAACTGTGTAGTTGTACAATCTAAAGTATGATGAAGCACATGTTCAAAGTGAAAGGTACCACAGTTTTATTGGGAATCAAAACAGCTAACTTGCAAATTTTACACACACATTCACACAAATCACATGGCCGTGTGAACACATAACATAGGCCTGTGAGTGACAGCTGACTCTCTCTAAGAATAGAAATGCACTCGGGTTCATGTCAGACCTTTAGTGCTCATTTTCACATCACATTTTAAAAGCAAACTAGTTTTTCTAACTTTTTTTCCTCAAAAAATTGTCTCTTGTTTCAAGTTAGGATAACAATTCATGGACTTCAGAGTTTATCTTTTGGTTAAGCAAGTTTCATTGTACTCTGGCAACAGCCACATTTAGGCAAATGGAAGCTTTTCTGTAGCTCATTTCCAGGTTCCCAGATACCAGTCCATCTATTGCTCACACAGCCTGGAACGACTTACCAGCCTGCATATATAATTGTCGGAACCTGTCAGGGGCTAGCCAGTGAATAAATCAAAAGAGAGCGCTGACTTGGTTTGAGATAGATGATTGCGTCTTAGGGGACACAGTTCCGGAACAAAGTGCATGCTTTCCTACAGTGCGTGCCACTTAGATGGGCTCCCAGCAGTGAACCTGGACTCCAGCTAGGTCTAAACTCGCCAAACTGTGTGTCCGATTACTCTAGTTGTCTTCCACAGGGGAATAAGCCACTACATGCAAAGCATCCCATCAGTCAGGAAGACAGCTAGGAGCCTGTTTGTTTTAGGAAACCACTTAGCCACTGAGCAAGAACTGCTTCCCTAAGTGGAATCTCAGGCAAGTGTAGAGGTCACAGTCTCGCACAGGCCGACAAAATGTTCACCGCACGTTGAGATGTCGTTCACTCCCATGTGGACTACACGCAGATGACCAGACATTAACTTTGGGTTCCAGACGGCTTCTGCAGGAACCATGAGAAGGTAGTGACAGTATGTCGCAAACATCTGTGCCGTTGGCTTCACCCCTCAGGGCTTTTCTTCCACACAGATAAGCATGGCAGATCAAATTCAAGGAATTATCCTAAGAACGAATGCAGTCATTTACACCGAGGTGTCACAGAGAGAGTGAGAAATCCATGTGATGTTTCTGCGAAAATCCATCTTACATTTTAAAAGCGATTGTTGCTTCATGTCTGACACCAGGGCTCTTTCACGTCATAAGAGATCGTGCGTCCCGTATTTAAAATATGAAGTGCTGTCCAAAGCAACCTTATGAAAACATCTAGACAATGACACATCCAAGTAAGTAGAGAGAAGTACGACTGTGTGCAGTATTTTTTTTTTTTTATCAAATTAGTTTGCGAGGCGTTTGGGAACCAGAAACGATGGTGGCCGTGCTATGCACAAGTGCCACAGATGGATCCAAAATGAACCCAGCATGTTCCCGAGGTCTCAAATTTCTAGAACATATGTATATGGCATAGAGAATGGAAGGGTCCCGCATTTCATGCAGACAGGGCAATGAGAGGTCTCCCTGCTGCAGTGTGGGCACAGGAGGGCTTACTTATTAGCCTTGAGCCCGGGTGCCGATCTCTTTCGCATTTGCTTTAGGATATTTTTATCAAACAGCTGTTTTTCCCGGTAATGCACGGGTGGGCCCCGTAGGTACTTTTCTTCTGCCTCCTTATAACCTAATCCGTCAAGTGCAGCAATGGAACAAATGATTGCTTCTGGCAGAAGAACTTCCACAACAAAACTGACTTTGTCGTCCCTTGCCAGAGTCAGCCTCTTCTTGTCTATTTGTTTGTAGATTTCTTGTAAATGTCCCACCACCACATCCAACTGGTCTTCATCCTCCAGGTATGTTTCAATGCAGAGCGTGTACCTCTTGCAATTCAGAAATGATGTCAGCCACCTGGACTGTTTCCTGCCTTTGACAATGTCCAGAAGGTGGTGATCGGCTCCCTTCGTTTTCACGATGAAGTCCACGAGCTTCTGGTTGGCTCGGTCCCGAGCAGCCCTCATCCGGTCAGGGAGAATCTTCTTGCGGGGCCTCTTCCCGCCCACGGAGGTCTCCTCCTCAGAATCCTCCAGGTCGGCATAATTGACCTTTGGGAAGTCAACCTCCAGGTCCCCGTCCTGGATGGCTTTCCTAACTGGGTAACTGACGTCAGCAGCATAATAGTCCAGGAAGGAGCCTGCAAAAGACCCACAAGTGAGCCCTTCTCTGTAGTGAGAAATCAGGGAGAAACACCAGTTCACACTTTGCTCGTACACTCTCCTGGCTCTCTTCATCAGTGTTTCTTTCTCTTTGCAGTCCAGGGGCTTTAATCTTCGAAGAGGAACTCGAATGCCACTCATTTCAGCGTGCATGTTTGCCTCAATCAAAAGCACCCTTGCAGTCTGCTCTGCTTGGCTGACGCTCTTTACCACTGCGGGCCAAAAGGGGTGATTTTGAAATTTAAACCAGACCATCATCCCTCCTTCAATGGGACAAGGCTCCTGTGGAGAAAGCGTGCCGGTCAGGTGTCCCATTTCCTGGCTGACATCCTTCTTAATAGCAGTGGTGGGGTTCACAGCCTTTGAGCTGGCCGGAGGTCGAGATTCCTGCAGCCCTTTCTCAAACTCTGGAACCTGCAGCTTCCTTCTCCTGTTTGCCAGACGGAGTGAACAACGCAGCCTCAGGTTAGGGGCACTGGAGGAGGCTGCCACACCTTCCAAGCCTGGCTCCCAGGGACCCTCTCCGTGGTCCTCAACATTCCCGGAGGAGGCAGAGCGCTCAGAGGAGGCGGCCGGGGTCTTTGCGTGGGTGTCAGGTGCCTCTTCTTTCAGAGCCTCCTCGGGCACAGTGAGGTTGAAACCTGGTGGCGGAGATGGAAGGATGCCTCCATCTTCAGCCCCGGTACCCTCCTCCTTGGCTATGCGATGCGAAGACCTAACTCTTGAGGTGTCCCTCTTTTCCTTGCCCTCTTTCTCACCACCATCTTCTGAAAGCGACAGGAAGTTCGGGTGCCTGCTGGAGCTTGGTGAGGACTTTGCTCGCCTTTTCCTTGGAAGGGGAGTGACAGTTGTGTGTGCCTGTGATTGGCCGCCTTCTGGGGCGTCCGGTCTCTGAGAACGCAGCAGCCGCGATTTGAGGTTTCTGCGTTTCCTGAGACGCTTCAGTAAGATCCCTTTGGCCTTCCGGTAGTTTTTAAGAGATCGCTTTCTTGGTCCCCTTCGGGACCGTGTAGTGGTCTCTGGATCATCCCATGCTCCTGCTGGGCGCACATCTGCTCTCCCCTTCAGAATCTCCAATGCCACTGTAAGAGCGTTTCTGTAAGGCACTTCCTGTCCCACTGGGACACTGGCCTTCGACTGGGCTGTTAGCAAGGAGCTAATGGATTCAATCTGAGACTCGTTTAGGATCTTTACGTCTGTGCTTTTCACTTTAATTTTTTCATCTACCGAGAGTATTTCAACTTCTAGAGAAAGTGCTCCTTTCCTCTTATTTCTTGGTGAGACCCCGGATCTGGACAGAAGCCTTGCTGGCCACAAGTGGCCTTTCCAATTGCATAGGACATACTCAGCATCCATTGTGATTTGGGTGTCCTCTCAAGAGCTGACTAATAGAGGCTGAGGGGTCTGGCTGTCAGACACACAGGCACAGCACATCTTCCCTCAAACAATGTCCTTCAGCACGCCTTTTGGCCTCGGGCCACAAAGGGTTTACGGCTTGTGTGGACAGTCCTTCTTCACCTGAGTCTCCCAGGGTCCCGGGGACTTGTGATCAGAACGGACTGTATAGGAGAACACTGGAATGTGGAAAAGGAAGAGAAGAAAAGCATTAGGGGAAAAAATTCCTTTTGTGAATGTAGAACATTAATCAATGAGAATCGAAAGGAGATAAAACAAAGAACTATAAACAGTGTGTGCGTCAGACAGGGGGGGTAAATACAAGGCACGTATCGGGGAACATACAGAAGATGCCTGAGGAGTTTTTTTAACCTTCCATACCCAACTTCTTGCCCTGCTTGTTGCCACTACACATTAAAGAGCATCTGTGTGGGGAGGCGGGTGTCATTTTCCAGATCTCATTTGTGTTATTGGCCGTCTTGTGCCTTTTGTGCTCGCTGGGGCTCATCCTGGGGGGATGCTTCGCTCGGTCCTTATTTTCTGGGGGGCGCTGATGCCACCCTGTGCACCCAAGGAAGCCAGGGACGATCTCCAGCCTACAGACACTGAATGCCAGCCGGCTCAATCTTGGGTTCAAGAGCATGAGCTTAGAATCCAGAGGTTCACCAAGATCATCCTGGTGGTTACTGGTGCCATCCTTCATAAGGATTGCTACAGGCATGGGCCATTGGCTGTGACCTGCCCCTTTGCATTGCCCTACGGTGGCTCAAAAGGCTGTTGCCCACCCCCCTCCCCGCCCCCAGCGCTAAATTTTCGGAAAGAGATGGCTGTAGAGCAGGAGCGGAATAAGCCACACTCCAAATGTCAACATGAAATGACTGCAAGTGAAATGTTTAGTAAAATAGTAACGTCTTACAAAACACCACGTAGATCGGGGGAGGCGTGAGTCTATTCGCGGCACCCGTTGGTTCACACGCTCCAACGGCTTGTCCGGCAGACCCTTTCCTCTGCTCTGTGCCTCTGAGGTGCACAGTCCTTCCAGGGATCAAATGGCCTCAAATGTAGATACCCAGGACGTACGTACCTCTAATGTTAATCTAGAAAATCGGAAAGGCAGATGGGAAATTAAGCCAACGAAATGGGGATGGAGTCATCATTTTCCCTTGCCCAGCTCTGGAATACAGGCTATTCTGAAACAGAAATGTTAGTTACATCTCATTTGGAATGTAGACCTGTCTCTCTGCTTCCTTCTTTTGCATTTCAAAAATATTGCCACATTAACCTGTTTAGTTTAGGCTAGTCCTCCTATTTCAGAACCATGGCAACTACGGCTTTCATGATAGCCTTTTTGTCCGTCTTAAATGCAAGGATTTAATAGTAGCAGCGTTTGTGTGTGTGTGTGTGTGTGTGTCGAGTGTGTGTGTGTGTGTCGTGTGTGTTAGCGTGTAACGCTAACGGTGTCTATTATGTAAGTGTGTGTTGGTGTTTCTAAAGTAAGTTTGTGGAGTACAGAAACCATGCAGAGGGGCATACATGGGAGGAAATACATTATAGATGCTTACTGTCAACATGATGGTATGAGGCCTCGTCGCACGTTCCCTATGCACCATGTACTTATGCATGCACATATTGCCTAGGACTGTATTTTTTCCACTCAGGAGCAGTATGGGATCACTGTTTCGTGGGAATCTGATTTTTTTGCGTCAGTTTTGTGAATCTCTTTTGGCAATGCGGTTTCCCTGACATTTAAAAACTTCATTTGAATACATTTCAAACATTTAGATGAGTGTGATGCAGAAAATGCAGTTGTTCTCTCAGTCCCCTTCCCCACCCCTCAAGAAATACCTGTTAATGGGTTCTACTTTCCGCATGTACTGTTCAATTATGTATCATAGTTCGCTTACAGATTTTAGCTCATCCATTAACAGTTTCAAATGGTACGCTTTGTTTTACAAGAGATTATTTCCCTAATAAACGCGTGTATGCAGGACTTTGTTTACACATACTCCTAGCTACAATATGAAACGTATGATGACTAACGACACAGACTTTGGGCCCAGCCTGCACAAACCTTTTCTTGCCAGAATGTGTGATCATCCAGGTATTATGTCCTCTGCTTTACAGAACTCAGTGTACTGTCTCTTAGAACACGGGTGTCGGGTGTCGGGTGAGGACACAGAACAAGGAGGAGAAGGAAAAACAGGTGATTCAGCCAACTGCAGTCTCCCTGCAGCAGGATCTGCCAGTCTCTCACACAGAACAGTAGTGCCTGAGTCACCTGAGCTCCAACCAGACCGCCAAGACACACCCACACTCACAGATACATACACAGACTCAGAGTGATGAGGTTAGATACCCAAGATGCCTGATATTGATGCATGGAATCAATGCTTTCTGCTCTACACATGCATGCAAATATTGCTGCTTCCAGGGCAGGGGTTCTTTCCAGCTCGTCTCAGTTCCTTATCTTGGAAATACACGCGGAGAATCTAAAATGCTGTTTAAAATTATAAAGTAGGAAAAACCTTAAGGATCAGTAAGCTGATCACCCAGAAGGAATGCAAACTGCAAATATATGAGTCTCGCACTTTTAAATTCTGTTTAAACCTATTTTCTATAAGATATTAGAAAGGGCTTTGAAAACCATAGCACCTATTTGAATATTCTCTCCCATTCACGTTTGTGTACATCTGTTCAACTACGAAGCACTTTAATGGAGTAACTTGCAGCGGACAACCAAAATATCAATTGTAATCATTTTGTCCGGTTACCAAAACAATGCATCCTTGAGAGACGCAGTCAGAAGGAAAGGGTTTTTTATTGACAATATAAAATCCTCCATGGCCTACTCACCATATGCTTTGGCCCACTGTCCAAACAGCTTCCATTTAAGGGTTGGCACATAATGTTGCAGATGATTTCCTTATTTTTTCATCCTAACAAGAGCACAGCTCTTTTCTTTCCCTCTAAGGGTGCATCCAGGTGGGTGTGTAGACAGACAGATGGTAGGTGGACAGATAGACAGACAGAGGGAATGATATGTAAATGTTGATCCTCTTCTGCACACCAGGAACAAGTATTAAAAATAGAACCATGAATGACACTGAAGTAACTATTAAAGTGACCCCCAATCCTCGGAGGGCTTGGATCTGAACATGTATCCACAATTCTAGTTTACAGTCATAGCAAACGTGCCTGCCCAGTAAAAATGAATAGAATATAACAGAAGAGGAATCGTAGAAGTAACAACTCCACAATTTGTAGCTTCAGGGTCAATTCCAGACCATCAAGAAATAGAACCCTCAGATGAACCAGCTTCAATGTTTAAGTCCTGCTGTTAACTCTAGTCCATTTGCTCCTTGGCTAAGGAATGAGAGAACGTGGTGGCAACGAATATTTATTTCTCCAATCAATGGCTGTGACTTTTGGAAGAATGATTTTGGAAGCTTTGTTCCTTAACTCCTTTCCCCATTGAGGGCTGTGATCACTTCCAAACAAAAACGAAAACAGCCCTCTGAAGGTGTTGTCTCTTAAAACGGGGGCACTGTCCTTGATAGGACTCCCGCACCCCTCCACTCCCCAGAGGCAGGACTTCTCTCATCTTTACCCCAACACCCTCTCATCCCTTCCCTAAAACCAGGTCTTATTTATTGGACCTTTTTTTGTGTTTTTCATTCTGAGAGGGAGGAGGAAGGCGGGGCCATAGGTAGAGGGAGAGATGGAATCTTAAGCAGGCTCCATGCCCAGTGCAGAGCCCCACACAGGGATCGATCTCATGACCCTGATATCACAACCTGAGCTGGAATCAAGAGTGGTGTTCCCAACCGACTGAGCCACCCAGGCACACCTTGAAGCTTCTTTTAAGCTGTAGGCTTTGTGACCTTAAACTGTCCCCAAAGCATGTATTTCCATGAATGGACAAGTTAGCAGGTCCCCCTTTTGGCTATAAAGGCACATTTTATGCAATTTAAGTTAGAGAGAAAACACGTTCTTTCCTACTATTGCACCTTTGCAGTGCCAGATGAATCCAGGATGAACTTTCCACTTGTCAAAGTTTTTAACCAAATTCCATTTGTAGAACAACTAGGTGGGAATTGGCATCTTCAGAATTTCCCTTATGTTGTTCACTAGTTTTCTAAACTCATAGAGGTCACGTCTATTTGGAAATGTGGACCATTTTTGTACAAACATTTTAATGGCAAGCGTTGCAGACTGAAAAATCGGGACCCACACTCAGTTTCATCAAGGAACTGAAAAAATTAGGCTTGCTTCTCACCTACAAATGATCAGCTACAAAACTAAAAGCACATACACCTTCCAATTGCCAAGCTCTGCTTCCAAATTTTCCCTTAGCAAAGATGGAACCAAAGCA